ACTAAAAAGCATCTGCACAGCAAAAGAAACAAGCATCAAAATAGAAAGAGAACCCACTATATTCGCAAATCATAATTGTTAACGATACATCAGATAAGGGTCTAATTTCTAAAATATATAGAGTACTCATACAACTCAACAAAAGGAAGACAAACAATCCAATTAAAAAATGGGCAGAAGACCTAAACAGAAAAGAACATACAATGTCCAAAAGACATATGAAAGGACATACAAATGGCCAAAAGACATGAAAAAATGTTCAACGTCACTAATCATCAGAGAGATGCAAATTAAAATAACTATGAGATACCACCTCACATCTGCCAGAATGGCTGCCATCAACAAATTATCAAACAACAAGTGCTGGTGAGGGTGTGGAGAAAAGGGTACTCTAGTATACTGAAGGTGGGAATGCAGACTGGTGCAGCCACCATGGAAAACAATATGGTGTTTCCGCAAAAATTAAATATCGAACTGTCATTTGACCCAGTGATCCCACTTCTAGGACTATAACCTAAGAAGCCTGAAACACCAATCGGAAAGAATATATGTACCCCTATGTTCATAGCAGCACTATTTATAATTGCTAAAATCTGGAAATAGTCCAAGTATCCATTAATAGATGAGTAGATACAAAAACTGTGGTACATATACACAATGGAATAATATGCAGCTGTACGAAAGAAAGATCTCTTATCCTTTGAGATAACATGGAGGGACCTGGAGAGTATTATGCTAAGCGAAAGAAGCCAATCAGAGAAAGACAAATATCACATGATCTCACTTATTTGTAGAATTTAATGAATAAAATAAACTGATGAACAAAACAGACCCAGAGACATATAAAAAAGTAGGGTTCACACTGACAGACCTTAGGTGTGGGGAGAGATAAACTAAAGAATTTATATAGCCTTGGCCGGTTTGGCTCAACGGTTAGAGTGTCTGCCTGTGGTCCAGAGAGACCCGGGTTCGGTTCCTGCTAAGGGTGTGTACCTCGGTTGCAGTTTGTCCCCGGCCCTGGTTGGTCGTGCAGGTGGCAGCCACTTGATGTGTCCCTTTCATGTCGATGTTTCTCTCTCTCTCTCTCTCTCTCTCTCTCTTTCTCTCTCTCTCTTCCTCTCTCTCCCTCCCACTCTATCTGAACAAAAAATGAAAAAAATATCCTCGGGTGAGGATAAAAAAATAATAATAATTTATATGCATATATGAATAACTAATGGACATAGACAACAATGCTGGGGGTGGGAGGGTATCTAGGGGGGAAAAAGTGCTGGCAGACAGGTGCCGTATCTGAGACTCCACTAACCTGGCTCAAACTGTTGGTCCTGCCCTGGGGATTCCCTGAGACCCTGCCCAACCCAACTTTCGGGCCCACCCAAGTTGTTTCCAGTGGCTTTACAATAGGAATGACATGTCTTGACTCATGCTTCAGACTTTCCTAAAGTTTCTCAAACAAGCAGCATCTGGCCTCAGCAAGCCCCATACCTCTTGCTAAGTGGCCCCAGGCCTGGCACTAGCAGCCAACCTTGGTTCACAGCTTGGCCTCACTTGGGCACCTCCAAGCCCAGCACAAGTAGCAACCATCAGCAGATAGCTTTGTAGCTTATGCTTGGTGGCCCTGAGCAGAACACAGGCAGTGGCTAATCTTGGCCTGCAACTCCCAGGAGGCATTAGAGCCAGCACACCCAGTGGACAGCTTCAGACCACACTGAAGCACTACCACCCAACCACCTCCACAAGCCATACACTGAAGGCAGACTCAGTGGGTACCAGAGCCCTGCTGAAATAAGTTCTGCTATGTGAGGTTGGCCCTTACAAGGCTAATCCTCAAAGGTGATTTGAGGTCAATGGTCACAGCCAGTCCTTGCTGCTGATGGGCCTGGGTAAATCTCTCCTATTGACAAACCAACAGCAATCAAGATGCAATTACAACACAAGGGTGTGCAGTCCATATGGAGATGGGGCACACTTCAAGTACCCAGTATGGGTAATCAAGGAGGCAGTGTCACTGAACCCTACAGGACACTGACTACAGGCCATTCTACCAAGCCTAAAAGATGTAGCCGCTCTACCTAATATACAGAAACAAACACAGGGAGGATGCCAAAATGAGGCGACAAACATGTCCCAAATGAAAGAACAGAACAAAACTCCAGAAAAAAACTCCTACAAAATGGAGATAAGCAGTATAACAGATGCAGATTTCAAAAGACTGGTTATAAGGATGCTCAAGGAACTTAGTGAGGACTTCAAGTAATAAAGGACCAGTAAGAAATGAAGGATATACTACTTGAAATAAAGAATAATTTACAGCCCTGGCCAGTTTGGCTCAGCAGTTAGAGTGTCAGCCCATGGACCAGAGAGACCCGGGTTCAGTTCCCTCTCAGGGCACGTACCTCAGTTGTAGTTTGTCCCTGCCCTGGTTGGGGCTGTGTGGGTGGCAACCAGTCAATGTTTCTCTCTCTCTTCCTCCCTTTCTCCCTCCTGCTCTATCTGATGATAGATGTAAAAATGTCCTCAGGTGAGGATTAAAAATACTACTACTACTACTACTACTACTAATAATAATAATAATAATAATAATAATAATTTACAGAGAATCTACAGTAGAGTAGGTGAAGCCAAGAATCAAACCAGTGATTTGGAAAATAAGAAAGCAAAAACACCCAATCAAAACAGCAAAAAGAAAAATGAATACAAAAAAGAAATGAGGATAGTGTAAGGAGACTCTGGAAGAACTTCAAGCATACCAACATTCACATCACGGGGGTGCTGGAAGAAGAAGAGAGAGAGCAAGAAATTAAAAACCTATTTTTTTAAAAAAAATGACAGAAAACTTCACTAAACTTGGTGATGGAAACAGACATACAAGTCCAGGAAGCGCAGAGAGTCCCAAACAAGATGAATCCAAAGAGGCCCACACAAAGACACATCATAATAAAAATGCAAGAGGTTAAAGACAAAGAAAGAATCTTAAAAGGAGCAAGAGAAAAGCAGTTCATTACCTACAAGGGAGCTCCCATAAGATTGTTAGATGTTTTCTCAAAAGAAGGGAATGGCAAGAAATATTGAAAGTGTTGAAAAGCAAGGACCTACAACCAAGATGACTCTACCTTGCAAAGCTATCATTTAGAATCCAAGGACAGATAAAGTGCTTCCCAGACAAGACAAAGCTAAAGTAGTTCATCAACACCAAACCAGCATTATATGAAATGTTAAAGGGTCTTCTTTAAGAAGAAGATAAAAAATATGAACAATAAAACCACAATAAATACATGTCTATCAACAACTGAATCTACAAATAAAGTGAATATACAGAACTGAAAGAGACACATAGATACAGACAACTTTTTGTTGGTTGCCAGATGGCAGGGGGGCTGGGGAGGTGGGAGGAAAAGGTGAAGGAATTAAACAGTACAAATTGGTTGTTACAGAATGGTCATGGAGATACAAAGTACAGCATTGGAAATACAGTGAATAATATTCTAATAACTAGGTGTGGTGCTAGATGTGTGTGGGATTTATTGGGGTGATCATTTATTAAGTTATGTAATGTTTAATCACTGGGGTGTATACCTGAAACTAATATAATGATGTATGTCAACTGTAATTGAAAATAAAAAATGATTTAAAAAAATACAAATAGATAAGACACTTTCTCGTTTTTAATTCTTTGTAGAAATTTATAACGAAATTTCTAGTATGCAAACTTAGTGATACCATTAATTTTTAGCTTAAAAAATAATGTGCATATAAAAATACTGTTGACTCTTAATTAAAACATTCATAAAAGATATTAGTGGCAAAATCAAATCAAAATAAGAGATGTTCTAAACCAGTGTTTCATATACCAGGTTTTGGAGGAAAACAGAGAACTGAGAACATTTCATGAAAGATGGGTACAGCATTAAATGAATTTAAGTAATGATAGTTTGAACGTTAAACAAGTTTCTTTACTTCTTTCTCACAGGCTTTAACGTGCTAATGTGAACTGTGAATTCCCAAAAGAAGTAAATGGAATGCAGTGTGTCCCAAATTTATTTCAGTTGGGATTTGGTTAAGGGTCACACTTCAGGAAACACTGTTGCAGGACAGCACAAACCGAATCAAATCAGATTTCCCCTACATATTTTATATTCATATCTCTGGAGAAGGAATTATGTCTTTTATTTAAAATATCTTTTTTCAAAATATAAAAGAGAATCTAAATCGTTAGTAAGCTTTAATTTATCAAGGAAAAATAAATATTGCTCAGTTTCAGACTTATAAGATAACTTAGAGTACATGTAGAGCCAATCACCTAGTAGAATTGATTCCACTTTCTAAAAAGAATCAAAGACTAAAACCTGTGGGGTAAATTCAACCAATTATGAGTTATTTCTTTAGTGTAAAGAGACTTAGAATTTAGTCCTGAACTCTCACGTATAATGACCATACTACTTTGAACAAATCACATACCAGTTCAATTTCTTTAACTATAAAATACTGTAACACATAAAGCTGTACTACATGAACTCTATAAAATTGTTTAGCTCTAAATATACTATTTTCCAACTTAATAGATTTAATACTTATTAAACAGTGAAAGAGTATTTTTTTCCAATTTAGCTTACATATTTCCAATAGTATAACTTCTGTTTATACACCTCCCAGATATTTATCACTTAAAACTTTAAAGGTGAGATTCATTTTGAATAAAAAAACAGATTTTTATGTCTCTCTAATGTCTGAATTATAACTCTATTTAAAAGATATCTATGTCTAAGGACTGGACAGAGAGTGACAACGGACCACAGTGTAGTAAAGTTTGAATACCTGAAAGCAAACGATTATCAGCCAGAAGCAAAGTAGATGAATGCAGGCTTTTCAATTGTTAATTATTTTCAGAAGCAAAGGTTAGCTTTAACATCAGGAGAGAACAATGTTCCAGTGGACAAATTGAAAGATGTTAGTAATAATGACATCTAACAAATATTCTTTAAGAAATTTTAATTATTTACCTGTAATGGACCCAAGATAGAACTTGTTGTATACATGAAAAAGAGGCGAAGATAACTCAGGACATTTGCAAATGCAAAAAGCCCTTCTGCCACCAGTGTAGGATGAAATGCATCCCAGTCTTTCCGATCAGCAAAGTCATGAAACTACGGAAGAAAAAGCCAAAGGTAAGTAGCTCTCTAAATTTAGGAAATAAAAACATATTCCAAGTATTGGGGAATAAAAAACTATTTTAATTATGTCTCCTTGTAGGAGATCACTATTTATGTTTAAAAAGGTCTCTTCTTTTAATAGAAATAACATTGTTTTAACTAAATATTTCTACATAGATGAGGCAATACTCTATATAAGGTTTTCTCAGAAATTGTGAGGTTTAAAAATAATTTTTAAAACTGTCATTAAACTTTTTATGAATGAAACACTTGCTAATTTTTCTTAAATTCTACAACACAAATTTTAAGTATGTTTACATGTCAATTTATTAGCTATCATAATAAAATAACCTAGCCCCTTGACTCAGGATTCTAGAATGAACGAGTCTAAAAATCAATGACCCTCGACTCTTTATTGAACCATGTATGACCAATTTTTATTTCTTACTAACTTTACAATTCCAATCACTGAACACGTCCTAATTACTTAAAGGAACAGAGTTTTTTGTTGTTGTTGTTGTTTTGTTTTTAATTAAATAAAATTATGTTAGATAACCAGTTCACCTTTTCTAAAGTCTATAGGTTCCTTTTTTTGAAAAACCAGACAATACTATATCTTTTAGTTCCTTGAACATGACACCTCAGAAGAATTCTAAACTCAGAGTTTAAACAAAGATAGTTAACATAAAATCTATTACCTTTTCTGGGCTTGGGGTAGTGTAAATCTTTATAAAAGTAAAATTATAAGATGTTGATAAGGCTAGATTTTTATTAAATTCTAAATTTAAAATACAGTCATCAGAAAAATAATTACATTTATACTACTTTTAAAGCTGTGTAAGATAATAATCATGATTTGGAATGTATAAAACACTATATAACGAATATTCAGATAAACTTTTTTTCTGCCAGATATAAAGATATCTAACACTAATTAATTTAAGTAACTTTGTGTTTTCATTTTAAGTATATCCAGGTTAATGAGGTACATAAACCTAGTTCAGATATAAGGAATTAGCATTTGGTAGAAAGAAAATGCCTAGACAGATCTGGATTTAAGTCCAGACTTGGTTTCTTACTGTGTGGTCTTAGACAAGTTACTTAATATTTCTGCACTTCATTTTCCTTATTTGAAAAATGGGAATAAGGACATCTATCTCATAGAGTCCCTGTGAGGATAAAATGAGATCAAGCATGGCAAGTATCAACCATGGTGCCTGGCATATAATAGGTAACAAACATTTAAAGGTAATTAACATTCTTTAAACTATTGGAAAGGAAGGAAACAATGTGCACATGGATAGGTTAAAATGAAAACATAACAGATACAGATTTGAGTCAATGTAATTCTGATTTAGGTAGCTAAATATCTCAGGTTTTTCTAAATAAACTTCATTTGTGCCTCCAACTGACATTGTTAATAGTCACCTTGTTGTGAGCGACCACTTTGAGAGCAAAAGTTGCCAAATAAAGTGAATTCATGACAAAACTGAGTTGATTACGAGATTCTTCTAAAAAATCTTCCAATCCTTCATACCAGAGTCTTTTAATGTCTGACCAAATCATCCCTTTAAAAAAAAAGAAAAAGAAGAAGAAAAATCAGATAGCGCTCTCTTACTTCAATAAACTGAAAAATACTTTTGGACCCAAAGTATTAAATAAATAACATTTACATCAGCTATAGCCCCACTAAGAAGGAAAAAACAAAACAAAAAAATTTTCAGTGAAAAATTCGAAAGAAAATAATCTTAAATTTCATATGGTAATCTCTTTCCCAGAGAGGGAGTAATGTGAAAGAGCGTAAAATAACAGCTTGATGCCACACACTGACACCCATCCTAACGGTTCAGTTCCGGTTCCTTTTCTCCATCTACTCACTCCTATATCGACCTCATCCAGTCTGGTCTAATGGCTTTAAATACCACATATGTGTCAATGTGTTTTTATATAATAATCATCCTCTGAACCTCACTCTTAAATTTCACTTGTATTGGTACTTAGCTGCTGTCTCCAAATGGATGTCCTACATGTCCAAACTGAACTCCTAATCTCTGCCCCTACATTCACTGCACGTAAGGCCTCCTTATTTCTTTGGATGGCAACTCCATTCCTCTAGTTGCTCCATCCAAATGTCTTTGAATCATTCTTAATTCATATTTCTTTTATTTATTTTCTTTAAATTTTTCATTTATTCATTTGTTTTTGTTAGATGCTTCTCATTTTTCCCCCGCGGACACCCTCCTCCCCTTCCCCCCACCCCATCCCCAGCTTTGTTGTCTATGTTCATTGGTCATGCATACATGCAAGTTCTGTGGTTTATCTCTTGACCCACAAATGCCCCTTCCTCTGAGGCTTGTCAGTCTGTACCCCCATATTTCTTTTAAATCACACATTCAATGCAGTAGCAAAATCTTTTGGTTCTACTTTCAAAATATATTTAGGATCTAACCCTTCTCACTACCACTTCAACTTCAAGCCATGATCATCTCTTGCTTGGATTACTTTAATAACCTACCTGGTCTCCCTTCTGGTACTCCAATCTCCCTAAAATCTATTCTCAACAGAGCAACCAGAGTAATCCTTTTAAAATGCCAAGTGTTGCCCTGGCCAGTTTGGCTCAGTGGTTAGAGCGTCAGCCTGCGGTCCAAAGAGACCGGGGTTTGGTTCCCGCTAAGGGCGCGTACTTCAGTTGTAGTTTGTTCCCGGCCCTGGTTGGGTAGTGTGGGTGGCAGCCACTCGATGTGTCCCTTTCACGTCGATGTTTCTCTCTCTCTCTCCCTCCCACTCTATTTGAACAAAAAATGGAAAAATGTCCTCAGGTGAGGATTAAAAAAATAAAAAATGCCAAATGTTACTTTTCCCCTCAAAACCCTGAAGTAACTCCCAGAGGACGAAGGGTTCTCTCTTCATGGGAACATAACCTCATGTTACCACCTACTAAAGTGGCTTCCTTGGAAACATACTGTGCTAAGAAAAATACATCAGGACAGCTGGTTCAACATTATAAAAATAATCACTGATTGGGAAAAGGCATGTGGACCAGGAGACTGTCAGTGAACTCAGAGACCCTGAAGTAGATAGCAAATATGGGAAGGCATGCTGAAGAGCACCGGCCTCAGCTTCTGTGTGTGACACCTCCCGTGACATAGGAGTTCGCCTGTAGTGGGAGTTACACTCTTAGGCTTTGTAAGACATTGTTCCTGTTGGATTTGAGGCCTCTCTAGCTGGGGTAGCCCACACCCATTCATACCACTTCATCTCAAACAACTGAGTGGGCCCTCTATGAGGTTTTGAAGCAGCCCTAAACTTTTGTAAGAACTGCCAATAAAGATCTATTTGAAGCTGTCATGTGGCATGCTGTACTTCCTGTTTGTATCCTTCTACAGAGCTCAGTACACCTGGTGCCAGGTTTCTGCCTAACGGTGTCCTGTGAGTGGGAATGGAAATGGGAACCCACAATCACTGTTGCTGATTGCGCAGAGTGGGCATTGCATCTTTCCTTACATCTCATTTCCCTCAGAGTCAAAATCAAATGCCTTACAAAGCCCTACATGACCTCTTCTCTGACCTCCTCTCCTATTGATCTTTTCTTCTATTACTCTAGTCACTCTGGCTCCTTGATTCCTTGCTGTTCTTTGAACACACGACTTGTTTTCAGACCTTTACACTGGTACTTCCCTCAGTTGGAAACCCCTCACCCTGATACCCATCTGGCTAACTCCCTCACTTCATGTCTTTGCCCACCACCTACTCTTATCACCCTATTTAAAACTGCAAACCCCATGCTCTCGACTCCCAATCCTCCAACTCTGCTTCTCCCTTTCATTTCCCTTAGTGCTCATCATGTTTAAACACTGGATATAGTTTACTTAGTATGTCTAGTATTAACTATCTTCCCCTCCCTTTGGGTGAGCTCTTTGTTTTATTGTAAGAATCTTTGTTTTATTAACCAATATCCTAAATGAAAATGTCCTGAATAGTGCCTGATACATTATGGCTGCTCCAAAAATTTGCTAAGTGAATAAATATACACAGATAAGACAAACAAACAAAACTTCCTTTTGGCTAGAGGTTCCTTCATAGTTATATATTCCTGGGAGTACCAGAGAACAGCAACATAACCCATGATAGTTTTATGATACATTCCTTAATTAAGATATTTTTAAAGATTATGAAGGAACAAAAGAATAGTGTTGCAACATAACGTATGGGTGAAGATCAAGTTAAGTCAATCAGAATCATTTTCTGGATTACCAGTAGGCAGAATAGTTTCCCTGGGAAACACATGAAACATTCTTGAAAAAAACTGTTCATAACATCTTAATTACATAGTACCCATGTTTTATATAGAAAAACATTTACAAATATGTGCATATCTGACAAAAAATACTCTTTTAAGAATTCCACTTGGGCCCTGGCTGGTGTGGCTCAGTTGGTTGGGTGTCATGCTGCGCACTGATAGGTTGCCAGTTTGATTCTTGGTCAGGGCACATGCCCAGGCTGCGGGTTCAATCCCTAGTAGGGAGCACGCAGGAGGCAGCCGACTGATGTTTCACTCTCACACTGCTGTTTTTCTCTCTCCCTCTCCCTTCCTCTATCTCTAAAAATTTATTTTAAAAAATCTTTTAAAAAGTCCACTTGGGTAAGCTTCTATTTAAAATGAATAGATAGCCCTGGCCAGTTTGGCTCAGCCCATGGACCAATGAGTCACGGATTCGATTCCGGTCAAGGGCACATACCTCAGTTGCAGTTCATCTAGCCCTGGTCAGGGTCGTATGGAAGGCAACCAGTCGATGTGTCTCTCCCACATCGATGCTTCTCTCTCTCTCATTCCCTCTCCCCCCTCCCACTCTATCTGATGATAAACAGAAAAATGTCTTCAGGTAAGGATTTGAAAAAAATAAATGAACAGATAAGGGAGAAGGGATGGTGGGGGTAGATAAAAATATAATATAATAAATGGATAAAAACTATGTGAAATGCTAAATCAAATAGTCTACATTTTATTAACTCAAACACCGTGACACTAAAACAGTAAACCAAAAGAAAAAATGCTTACAGAAATAAGTATACTTGCATTTGGTAAAATGCAGTATTATACCTAAAGAAACCTCTTGACAAAAATTAGAACATGAATTGGAGATTTTTGATCAAGAAAGGCAGACATGAAAGAATTGTGAGTACCACCGTCAAGTAGTTTCCTGTGTCCTGTGCAACACTCCACACCAAAAATGAACTAATACACTTGACGTATTTCATACTTCTGAATTGGATTGGAAGAACACAGTAACTTCAAACTATATTATCAATGTACTATATTTTAGAGTTCTTCTAGTTTTTGTTTTTTAGAATCAGTAACTAACATTAGTAAACTGTAATCCTATCATCGTGGGATTCCTCAAGGCTTGCTCCTAGGTCCTCTCTTCTAATTTATACTTTCTCCAGTGCCACATCCATGACCAGTTTATTCACATATAGTTGGCTCAAGCTTACAAATCCTCTTGAGCTTCAGATTAAGATATCCAATTGTCTGACTGACATCTCTTTGGGATATCTTGAAGCCTTTTCAATTTCAACCTATCCAAAACCACAAATCTCCAAACCCAGTACTCTTCCAAAACATCTATATTATTGAAAAATCTCCCTCTTCCCCTACGTAATATGTATTTCTATGTCCTATTAGCTTTCCTTTGTAAATACCTCTCAAATCTGCTTCTTTCTCTCTTTTTCTGCCACACGGCCATAAATCCAAGGTACCAGCCCCTTTCACTGGTGCACTGAACTACCTCCTGTGGGTCCCCATCCACCTCTGCTCGCCACAGCCCCACCCACCCTCCTAGCCCTTCTCCCACTGCGCCAGGTGCTCTTTCAAAGGCAAGTTTGATTGTGTCACTCACCTACTTAAAATCTGCAGTGGTTTTCCACTATTCTTAGTACAGCAAAAATTACTTAACATGGTCTAGAGCACACCCCTTTCTACAACTTCACCTTGAATTCCACTTCCTTGCTCCAGCCTTCACTCAGTCCCTCCTGTGTACCGTGCCTCCTCTTGCCACGGGCCTCTGAATTCAACTATTGTTATCAGCTTAGAATACTTTTCTCTCCCAATTCTCCTAGTTGACTCCTATTTATCCTTTATATATTAGCTCATTTAGCACTTCCTCAAGACAGCCTTCACAATGTCCCTGCCTAGGTAAAATGCCCTTACAATATGCTCGCTCTCCCAGCTCTATGACCTTTACTTAGTAGCACTTAACTCATTTGAGATTTTTAAACTTATATTTGTGATTCTCAAGTTATTGTGCTTTGGGTTTTTTATTTGTTCATTTTTACCTTAATTAGGCTACAAGCAGAAGGTGTGCTGAGAAAAGTAAAATAATTCCAGAAATTTTACTGGCTTAACCCACATTTCACTGTTCTACTGAGGCAGAATATGGTTAGAATATTAATCATTATGTGTGTGTGTGTGTGTGTGTGTGCAATGTTATTGAAAACTGGGGCACATGATTAAAAAGGAGTAGTCATCATTTTACTATTATTATGAAATTCAGTGGCAGCAGTATATTTA